TTTTAAAACTGCCAGTACATTCTTCTGTATTTCTCTTACACACATAGAAAATATCTATTGCCTATTAATGTAAGAAAATTGTTTGCTAAAACTTAGAGGTCTTCATATATTATTTCCACCGGCCTTTAAGCCCTGCTACATTTTCAAATTGCATTACATGGAACTATGCTTTTATGTAGTTAATCACCACTTGTCAGCCTAAAAAAGGTGAAGGTCAACACCATGATATTTGGCCTTGAAAAATGCTTCCCAAAGGAGATCACTGATGCCTTTTTCTTTACAAATACAATTCCTTGGTGTTTGACTTTATTTTTGTCAAGAATTCATGCAATTAAAAATTAATTACACACAGATATAAGTAAACATGGTTTAAAAAAAATCGACTGTGGTGATCATGGTCTCAGCTAAGCAGGAAGCTGCCATCTGGAGAAATGATTTTCACACTCTGATGACTGAAGTGGCCTCAAATCACTAAGTGTGACATGCCTCCTTCACTTATTTTCTAATTAAATGCAATTTGCTTTGAAAGAATTTTTAACTAAAGTATAATTCTACTGATATAATCCAAGTAAAATATAGCCTGACAGATGGAGAAAGAATGGAAAGTAATTCTAATATCATCCTTTCAAAATAAAGTGTGACCATCCAAAGATGCGGGATATTATTATCCCTTGTTTTAAACGCTGATTTTTCCCTTGGTTTCTACTCCTATGGAAATTATAATGTGAAATCCCTAGTTTACTTATTTTAAAAAATAAATAAAAATGGCAATCTGCAGTTTTCCACTGAAAAAATTTAAATGATTTCCTTCATAAGGCTGAACACATGAAAAATAAATTCATTTTATGCATATGTTTTTAAGATGAGCATTACTAGTGGCATGGACCATAAATTGGAATAGCGCTTGTCACTTCAGCACAGCAAATATTCCACAGCAATTACAATTGGGTAACTAAGTCAAGTTTGTCCATCCTTACAATTTCAGGGGACATACAAAATAATTTGTGTATATGTGTATAAATATACATGTGTGTATGTGTGTGAGGTATACCATACATATTATATGGCATGTGAATGTGTGTATATATATGTGTGTGTGTGTGTGTGTATATATACACATATATAGAGAGAATGTAATTGTGTATGTCTGTGCATATATTTATATATAATTTGTGATATTTGCCTCAAAGTATCTTTTTCTTTATTACATAGCATGTTTGTCTATGTCAGTTAGGATTTGCATTCAGTTGCTATATCAGAGACTGGAAATAACAGTGACATATGCAAAACAAAAGTTTATTTTGCTCTCTAGCAGTAGAAATCAAGAGGCAGGTGATCTGAGGCTGACATGGCAGCTCCAAAGTCACCAGGTCCCATATTCCTTCTATCTTTCTGTGCTGGCTATCTTAGTGTTATGGACTACATATTTGTGTCCCCTACAAACTTGTATGTTGACCCCCAACCCCCAATGTGACAGTATTTGGAGATGGCACCTTTGGGAGGTAATTAGGGTTAGATGAGGTTAGAGGGTAAGGCCCTCATGATGGGCTTAGTGCCCCATAAGAAAAGACAATAGAGAGCTTGCATTTTTTCTTCACATGCAGGAACACAGCAAAGGCTGTAGAGAGGACATAAAGAGAGGGCAGCCATCCACAAGCTAGGAAGGGACCTTCACCAGGAAACTGAATTGACTGGTACCTTGATCTTGAACTTCCTGGTCTCCAGTACTGTGAGAAATAAATTCCTAGTGTTTATGCCACCCAGTCTATAGTATTTTGTTTTGGCAGCCCAAGCTGACTAATCGATGTGGTATGTGTTTCCACTGTCACCTTCCCTAATTGACCTAGATTTCTGCTTGAGCTCCGAATTAGAAGCAGGGTAATGGAAGAGGACAATGTGACCTTCCTGGAAGTCCCACTCAATGAGGTTTGAATTCATTTAAATTTCAGGTATGCGAGAAGGCTAGGAAATTTAGTTTATCATCAAGGCATTCTCCTAGGGTTACATAAGGAAGAAAAAAATGACTATTGGGCAGACACCTGGAAGTCAATGTGTATTTGTCTCTTCTCTAGAATCAGTGAGGGCATGTGTTTACATGCCAGCTGAATTAGTCTTTTGAACAAATTTAATTCCAATCTTGAACTCTAGAAGACAAGTTTCTAGGAAATCTTGGTCCAGGTCAATTAATTTGTTTTTCTGAACCATAGTAACATCTATTTTACTCATTAAATGTGGTCTCTGTGTCTAAATACATTCTTTTTTGTTAATTAAGTCACATTTAAAATGTACTAGGAAAACTCAAAAATTAGATAAATCTCATGAAAGAATCTTTTGAAAAATACAATTCATATGCTAAATTTCTTTTTAATATTTTTTCCATGTTTTTCTTTGTTTTAGTAAAAGTAAAAAATATTGGTACAGGTACAGCAAACCAACAGGTTATATCAACTTAATTGTTAATGATACTTAATTTATGGAGTAAAAATGAGGATTTTGAATGCATGTATACATATCCAGCCCAGTAAGTGGCTAATGCCAGAAACTTTGCAAATAATTATTTCCTGTCCTCCCCATACCCCAGTAAACAATACAAAGTAAGATAGGAAAATATTAATGTAATATTAAAATACAGATTTGATATTTAGAACTTGCCAACCTGGAAAAATGGAATTTTCTACATCTTTATCATAATAAAAACATGTTCACATTTCTCTCTTTACTTACATCAATGACTATATCTGTAGATAACCAAAGAGAGTAATGACAGACCATTAGCACTAATAAGATAATTCATTTAGATAACTCAATAAGATATAAAATACTACATAAAATACAGAATGTAAGATAAAAATAAAATGTTGAGGTCTGTTGGTCCTGATGGAAAGTAAGATAATTGCTCCACTCAGCTTTGTTTTACATGTGTCCCATATTTGTTCTGTGAGAGATGCCCATTTCTTGCCCCAGAACAGTCTGTAAGTGCTATGTGGCCCCAAAGCCATCACCTCTCTTTTACTCATTGTCAAAGCAACCAGGTAGTCCTGGCCATTAGATTTTCTTAGTGTGACTCAGACCCCTGTCCACTGTATTACATGAGACACATACTGAGCTTCACAAAGCCCTCTTTTTTCCGTTTCAGAGAACAAGATCCTTCAGCTTTCATTCTTCAGACTCAATATGTAGATTTCTCCAAAGGAACCTTCTTGTTCTAATTTCTAACTCTTAATATTTTTATACCATTGATGTGAGTGAAGGGATAAGAGTCACTTAACTTGGTGTTAGGTTTCTTGATGTCTTATTTATATATTTTGCATACGGTCCAGCACCTCCTTTGAAATGGGGTGCCTTTACTCTCATGGTATCTCAGCAAAATTTTTACTTCAAACTAAATAAGTATTAGTTGCTATTATTGTCCAAGGAAAAAGGGCATCAGTGTTAGCACTGAAGGTAGTAGCCAAATAAAATTTTAGTTTTATATGTCACATCTTTTTTATAGAATAATTCATATATTATGTTTAAAATGAGAAAATATTTTTAAAACTAATCTTTTTCTACATGGATATGGTTTTCCAGTATTATTTATTAAGGCCTTCATTTTCTCAGAATCTGCAATGTTACCTTGCATATATCAAAATTTCATAGATGTCAGTTTGTTTCTAAACTCTATTTCATTTTTTGTCAATTTTTTTGTTTTTGTGCCAATGTTGCACTGTCCTAGTTATTACTGCTTTATAGAAACATGATGTCTAATAGAGAAAATCCCCCCACTATAGCCCTTTTCTGCAAGAAGTCCTTGACTTTTCTTGGACATTTTGTCCTTCATAAATGTTTTAGAATCAGCATCTCATAATAATAATCAGTGATTTGAAGACCATCCCTTATCCCCAACCCTCAACTCCAGGAGATAAAGAAGTAAAAGGTTTGTTTTTGATAATCAAACTTATGGGTCCAACTTGTTTCTTTCTCTTGAAGTGAGTGTATCCCCCTTTATTCCTAGATAATTGATGGTGATGTTAGCCAATCACAAACTTTCTCATGGGAGACACTAAGCAGATTTCCCTCCAGTCTCTGGTAGAGGTTAGTATAAAGCAGCATTGCATATAAGAATGACTCACGACTTCATTCACAACAGAGGTAAAAGCCAGAGAAGGTCCCATGTTTGGTTTCATTACCGTTATTACATTACATATTAATTACCATGTGGAAATAGAGTGTCCCATGTCTTGCTATATATCAAACACTTTCAGTGACTGTCTAGCAAGCTCATATCTTCACAAATGAACAACAAATGGTAACATAGCAAATGGCTACAAAGCCCCTAATTTATTTTTAAAAGATCTGCCAATAGTTCCTGGCATACTCTGTTGCTTTTGTCATTTAAAATCATGGTCACATTTCCAGGTAAACTCATAAAGAATCAATTTATATAATTATGTGATATTCACAACTAGGGATATGGCAATTAGTAAAATAGAAAAGTCCTCTGAATACAATTTTAATTACCCTCTTCTTTCTTTGAGATGTATTACCAGAGCCTCCCTTACTCCTCCCAGGTAAAATTGATTGCCACATTCTTTTTTGTTTTTTGTTTGCTTGTTTGTTTTTGAAACAGTCTTGCTCTGTCAAGCAGGCTGAATTGCAGTGGCCCCATCTTGGCTCACTGCAACTTCCGCCTCCTGGGTTGAAGCGATTCTCCTGCCTGAGCCTCCTGAGTAGCTGGGACTACAGGCATGCACCACCATGCCCAGATAATTTTGTATTTTTAGTAGAGACTGGGTTTCTTCATGTTGGTCAGGCTGGTCTCAAAGTCCTGATGTCAGGCGATCCTCCTGCCTCGGCCTCCCAAAGTGCTGGGATTACAGGTGTGAGTCACCACGCCTAACCACCATATTCTTTTCGATATTGCTCTTTTTTCTCCAAATTTAGCTCCATACTGGCACATTTGTCTTTAACACAATTAGTTATTTCCATGCTTTGATGCTCACTTCATGACTTACCTCTCTGAGACCTCCTCTTTTCTTTTTCTTCCACTGAGCCTTGAACATTATTTTCTTCATTGTGCCATAATTTTTTCCGTCTTTTCCAGTAGCTAATTGTGTTTATAAGGTCCTCTCTTGAGGGTCCTTCCTCAGGAGAGTGTAAACTTCGTCATTCTTCTTTCTACTCTCAATTTCTCACCTAATGCAAAGAACATTAGAATCTGTAAATAAGGGTTAAATAAATTATCTCAAGTTTTCACAAATCACCTCCAATAAGAGGACTTAAAAACCACATCTACAATATTTTGAAGTCATATTTAGATATTTCTATCTGGATGTCATTTTATCTCCAAAAATCCAATATCCTGAAAACTGAATTCATCATCTTTTCTCACCATTATCCTTCTCCCCTGCCAAATCCCTTTATTGAATTTTTATAATATTTAACCACCATTGTTTTGAGTTAGTCCAGCTCATTGTCTCTGTGTTCTCTTACCTTATATCCTGTCAGTTATCAAGATTTGTTGATGATTTTTTGTCCTAATATTTTCTAAAATCATCCCTTTATTTCTTCTCTGAAATGAACAGCCAAATTGTAGTTATGCATGTTCTCAAGCCTGGCCTATTGCTATAGTTGCCTAACATGGTGACTTATAGACACTCAAAAGATGATTATTAGTGGGGTGACCAGATGTCTACATTTGTACAGTAAATTATGTGGTCCCCATACTTTTGGAAAGAATGGGAAGTTGTCACAAAGGTGTACATGAAGAGATCCATGGTCCTCATGTGTCAAAAGCTGAAGAACCAGAGCCAGGTGGATTCCCTAGCGATGTTTTTGCCACCAATCTGGTCTTAGAGGAAATTATTTAAGTTCACTGAAAGGGACATTATTAGTAAATCTGGAGGTTGTGGTAGTCCTCTTGACCTCATTTATTTACTTGTTCTGCCTTTTCAGGAGCTTCTCTCACCCTTTTCATGTCTGAAGAGTCTTCTCTCTTCTTATGTGATCCCCTAAAGTTCTCACTATCATGGGGTATGGGTCAAAGCTCAGGACTTCCCACGTTTCTACTGAGATCCATCTTCTTAAGTTTGTGATCTTCGTGTAAGACAATAGCTAGTCAGATTCATTCATCCATTCATTCCATAAATATTTAATGAGCACCTACTATTACCAGGATTGTTTTAGGCACTGAAAATAAAAACTAGCTTTTGCAAAGACGAAACTAACTACTCTCCCTGATCCCCTCAATACTTCAAATTCTTAGAAAGGCAGTATATCATAGTTAAGGGCATAACTGGAGGACAGATTGCCTGGGTTCACATCTTAGCTGTACCCCTCTCAGGATGAGAGGTAGTGCAATTACTTAAACTCTCTGTGTTTCATTGCATCATCTATAATAATAATAGTATTTACCTCACTCAAAAAGCATAGTGTAAGCCTTGCATCAGAAAATATCTCAAACTCTTAAAATAATTCTGGTACTTATTAGGCACTCAATAAATATTGACTATTAAGAGTATGCCCTAAATATTCTGGGCATTTCAGGTCTGGAGATCTGAAGACGATGCTGAAAATATGGTAGTCACAGCAATGTGCGCTGTGACAGTTACAACTTTTTCTCTGCCTATGTATCAAGTAAGCTTGATGAATATTGAGTGTTTGATTGATCAGTTAATGGCTTTACGATTTTGAGAGGGTTTCAGTCATTAATTGATACAGAGGTTGAGCACAACTGACCTTTGGTGTCAGACAAAACTGGGTTCAAATCTTTCTTTGCCGCATATGTGCCATATGATCTTGCAAGAAATTGGGTTAATGATTCTCCTGACCATTTATTCATTTAAGCGATGTTTACTTACTCCCTGCCAGACACTATTTTAGTCCTTGGGGATACAGCAGCGAACCAAATAGATGTGATCTCGGCACTGTGTTGCCTACAGTTTAGTGAGGTAAGGGGGAGAAAATATTTAAACAAATAAATGAAAGAAATAGTTTTAGCCACCTCCTATGGTAATTGTGAAGAGTTGTAAATTCTCCAGAAATGTAGTTGCCAGGATAAAAGGAATTCATAGTTTAATGTAAGAATCAACCATACAAACAGATATTTGTCATTCTATGCGGAAAAAACAATAGAAGCATGACTATGGGGACTGAGAGAAAGTGTGATCTAGAGAGTGGTAGATTCTGGGCCACAGGCAGGAGTTGTAGAATGGTGACTGGCTTCAGGGAGGAACTGCAGTAAGCATCTTGAGACCAGTTTTACTGTCTAAGGCCATTCTTTCTTTCCTTTTGGCTTAACATTGCTGCCTGAATTGTTTTCCAAGTGAGTTTTTTTCATCATATTAGACCTCTCCTAAAATATTTCATTTTCCTAGCTCACTCTTTCTCAAATGCCCAAGGCAACATTTTTGTAGATGCACGCTCTTTTCCTTTGCTTTCTGTGTTTCCTTTTCATTTTTCTTTTCTTTTCATTTCTTTCTTTTGGAGACAGGGTCTTAATCACCAAGGCTGAAATGCAGTGGCAAAATCATAGCTCACCACAGCCTCAAACTTCTGGGCTCAATCTATTCTCCCACTTCAGCATCCTGAGAAAATGGGACTACAGGTGTCTGTGACCATGCAAGGCTATTTTTTTAAAATCTTTCATAGAGACAGGGTTTCACTATGTTGGCTGTCTTGAACTTCTGGGTTCAAGTGGCCCTCCTGCCTTGGCCTCCTAAAATGCTGAGATTACAGGCTAGATGTTCTTTTCAATCTTTCTGAAATGGTTATTGAATTTGAAAGCTCAAGCCAAAGGAGTTAAGAAGTGCTAATCTGCAACAAAATTGCCTTTTAGTTCTGTCCTCTCATCAGGATAAATCTTTTTGAGGGATGCTGCCTTTTCTTGACATCTTTGTATCTCCTGCATTTTCTGATATCAAGTTCACCTTCGGGAAATTCCACCTGGTGAGAAATTACAGCAATTCCCGACCTAACACTTATGGCAAGAGTCCAATCTCCTAGCAATTGACTGATCGCCCTGACCTCTAAGCTGGACAGTGCAGAGCTACCTCAAAGAGCTCTTACAGGAACCCCTGGTGGATATAAACAAAATGAGATCATTGAAATGAGTGGAATACAAACACCAAAACCCATATCTGGACTTTAAAAACATGTACTATCAAGTTTTGTGCAAAGCCTCCAGGCCCACATAAAAATCTGAAAGGATTTATAGGAAAGCCTTACAAAATCTATGTGGACAAAAACCTGTGATGTTAAGGCTCTTCTTTCTTCTTTAGGATGGATTGAAGCATAAGAATCTACTTCATGTAGAATTGTAACAATTTATAATTTGGTAATTAACAAATGGTAAAACTAGCAAGATTTCTTCCAGATATAGATGCCAGGAGACTTTCTCCCATTTTGACCCTCTCATGTTGATTTCAAGGCCTGCATGAATCTGTGGTTGGTTTTTCACCTTTTAACTCCTCCCACAACATCAGATGTCAAATTGAACACTGCAGTCAAATACTGAGATAAAATTTAGGTTGGAATATCTTCAGCTTGCTGAAAAGTTGGTGGTCTGTATGATTGCTTGCATCTTCCATCAACATTTCATATTAACATTATGCAAAGTGCTGCTTTAAAGTTGAAATTATTGTAGACACATGGGCTGGAAAAGTGATGTCAACCAATTCGCATTTAGGTGAGTTTCTTGATTGTGTGCTCATGACACAGATGAGAAAAACTAGTAGATTGAAAGGAATACTTTTGTCTTCTCTCTGCCTTCCCTACCCCTGGAGGATTCTTACTATTGGCTAATGACTCTTAAATCTATGTTATCTGTATCACTGACAGCTCTCTCCCTTGAGCTCCAGACCACACCTGTAGCTGCCACCAGAGGTCCCTAAAACTTATCACATTCAGAACTTAAATCCATTATTTTTCCTACTAAACTTTGCCCACCCCTATTCATGTCTTAGAATAATGCTCTACTATTCAAACAGTTATACTAAACTGAAATCTCTTATTGCTTTCCAGGAATTCTTGAATATGTAAGAATGTCCATATTCCAGCATTCATGTAAACAGAAAATTGTAGAGGAGTAAAAGTGCACACAGTGGAGAAGACCTAAATATCTAACTTTAAAAAGTCCTTTGATTTGAGTAGCATTGCCACAGTTCTCTGCAGGGTTTTGATAGTTTGCAAAAGGGTGTAAATAATTAAGTACAATTATCACCACAATTGAAAAATCAATCTCAAGCATGTTGTCCACTCTTATGGGTTCAGAAATGCATTTTTTAAACAATTAACAATTTTAACAATTAAATCCAGATTTATTTGAATTTCACTGGCTTTCCCCTTAATAACCTCTTTCTGTTCCAGGAGCCAATCCAGGGACCATGTTACATTTAGTTGCCATGTCATGCTATGTCTTCTGTTCTGTGACAGTTTCTCAGTCTTTTCTTATCTTTAATGACCTTGGTAGCTTGAAAAATACTGGTCAGGCACTTGTACACTGTCTCCCAATTTGGGTTTATCTGGTATTTTTCTCATGGTTATACTGGAGCTTTTGATTTTCGGAAAGAATGCCACAAGGTGAAGTTCCTTCCTCATTAAATATTATCAGGGGATACATGATATCACTTGTTATGTAATATCACCTGGTGAAAGTAGTATTTGCCAGCTTTCTTCACTGGAAATTTACTATTAATGTTTTTCCCTTTCCTTACTTTATCAGGAATGTACTTTCATGCTTAAAAGATTCAAGTTTTCTAAAAATATTTTACTTACTTACCTTTCCCTTTTGTAATTCTCTAACACATAGCACCATCTTGCAGAAAAAAAAGAAAAAACAAACTTATTTGAATTTCTTTCTGGACTCTAACATAATTCAAAGTAATCTTTGCAGCAAATATTTTTCAAATATAAAAATTTAACTCAACCTAGTGCTGACTGTTTCATATACAGCATTTACATCAATATCATGACTCATAGTTATAATGCATTTGAGCTACTCTTGTCATTGATTGACCAGGTTTCCTAGAACTTATAAAAGTTCACTTATATGAATAGTGTTTATGACATTAATCAATCAAGAAAGCACTCAGAATAGCCCACTTTTTATATAGAAAAGCATACGTAATATGTTTATGTAAAGTTTTCTAAAGATCTAACAAAAAGATACATATCTGAAATATGAATGATAAATTTTGATTTAATTCAGAGGAAAATGTTAATTTAAAAGTATAATTTTATTTAAAATTATGTATAATCCCCCAAACTTCCTCTTGTCGGTGAAAACAAGCATATACAATAAAACATTTATATCCATCCCCTTCTCCCTAATGGTTGTCTAGCTCAAGGTTTGTCAGCCATGTTCAGCTGAGCTATATCTGTGTCTTTCTGAACCTCTAAAGCTGAATAAAATATTTGCAGACATAGCTCACACCTGATAGAAACAAGGTCAAATAACTGGAACATTAAATTTATCCTCATAATATTACACTTGTCATTGACCTAACATTTTGATACGCTCCTCAGGAAATATATGGCCATGTTTTCTTGTGTCTGTAGAATATTTGGGTAATTGCTGCAACAACAGATTAAATTTTGAAACCTAGAGTACATGTGAAAACTGTGGAAGATACACCAGCTTAAGACTAAGGGGTATTTACTGCTGGAATTTAAACATGTTGGACTTCCATGAATCAATTTCATTTGAAGTTCTGGTAGACACTGGGGAGCAAGGCAGTACTTTGATGTACATGAGACAGTGTTGCATAAAAAAGAACAAGAACATCCTTCCAGCTTTTGTGGGTAATAAAGCGTAGCTTCCATCAGATGCGTAGTTCAAGAACAGTGGGTCCACTGGCACAAAGAAGATTTCAAGGCACTAGCTGTGGTTGAGGAAGCATTGATAATGCCCAACCTTGGGAACATCAGCTAGTGGCCAAGATTTTAGCAGTGATGTCCTATACATGCTGCTTTGGGATAAGTGCTGGACTGTCCGTGGCTAAAAGAGGCCTCAGCAGTACATAGGAGTTGAAGAAGGTGGAGGGAACCAAGTTCATCTGATGCTAAAACTAGTTTTTCTTAATTGCCATACTATAATGATGGTTAGTTTGCTCAAAAGGGATCATACAAAATACTTGGCTCACTGTCAAGAAATTGAAAATTAATTACATCTTTCTAAAAGTCCATGCTGACACCAGTAACAAAACTAGGAATAAAGGCTTAAAGAATAGATATGAAGAACTTGATAATCACCCACTGGTAACTTTTATAATAATCTTCAATTTTTAAGTAGATAAATGGCAATAGACGATATCTTGCATCTCACAGTCTGCATTTATTTTATTGCATTTTTTTTCCCCCTTGACAGAACCCTTAAGTCTTCAAAAATGTCAAATGCAGTACATAAAGTGGGCCACATGGTGTCAGGAGCGACATACTGTTCTTACCAAGGAACCAGCTTTTCAATCTGGGAAACACAAAGATATTTTAAAAATGATTTGCCTTACTAATTTTCTCCAATTTTGATGCTTCAATTAATCAACATTTTAACACAATTTCCAAAAATTTGGCTTAATATTTTTGTAATTAAAGCTGTTCTGATTTTATTAACTTTAAAATGACCAACACATTTCTGTTGCAATTTAATTTTAAAGTTATGTTGATCTTTTCTTGAAGTCTAGCTGTACTAAGTAACCACTCTAGAGATACCTGAGCATATTTTCTCCTCTTTACTATTATAGGGATAACCTATAAGGAGCAGGGTATAGTAGAAAGAGAACTAGTTTGGAGTTAAGCACCCTGACTTAATAGTCCACCTATTTTCTACATGCATGATCTTAATTATGTAACTTGAGTTTCTGCCTTCACATTTGCAAAAATTTCTGACTATTGTCCTAGTATATGGGTACAGGGGGATTCACTGTGATTGGAATTTATTTAATGATTCATGTAACAGTTCATTAATGATGGATTGAGCCAGGCTTGCCCTTTGATTTCTGACTAGGAGAATCTGCCCAGTTAAATTTGAATTTTGGATAAATCATGAGTTTTTGTTAACATAAGTATGGCACAATTATTGCATGGGACATACTTATACTAAATGATTCTTTGCTGTTTATCTGAAATTCAAATTTAATTGTATGTATTGTACCTGGCAACCATATTTAAACATTATATTAATTGTGTTTATATGTTAGTAAGAAATAACTATAGTGGGGTGTATCTGGCTCTTCCTAGAAGCTCCTCCAGCACCTAAGAAGAGTTTTATTCATTCACATCAAAAGAAGTTACAGGAGGTTTTTCTGCCAACAGATATAGTACCTGCGCAAAGCAAATATGAAATAACAAAAATCTCTTTTATGAAGTTTTACAACAACATTGAGGGGGAATGTCATAAGACATAAATGAAAAAATCTAGAGAATTTTTCTTTCTTGGCTTATGATCAATAAAGAGACTGTTAAAGCTACCAAAGAAGTATAGCAATAGAATTAACAGGATTGGCTGTTGCCACTAATGTAATGAAGGGTAGGGAAATAGAAAAAATGTTTGGAATGGTTCTCAAGTTTCTGATTTGACTGGACAAATAGTACCAAGAACAAGAAGAGAAAGGGGCTGATTTTGAAGGAAATATTGAATTCCAGTTTCAAAATGTCGATGTTGAGAGATGTCCTTTGGTGAATATATGCATATGGAGCCCCAATGAGACTCTACATTGGAGATATCATTGGCAATTGAAGCTGTAGAAATGGGAATAATCATGGAGGTAGAATGTATAGACAATGAATAGCAATGGGCCAGTGACAAAGCCCTAGGGAACACATACATTTAAGGAGAAGAAAAAGGAAAAAGAGCACATAAAGTAGCTCAGAAAGAAAACATAGGCAGAAAACTAAGAGAAATAGTGTCATGAGGGAAAGAGATAAGAGCTTTACAAAGATGTTCAATAGTGCCAAATCCTGATGAGGTCAAAAAGATGTAACAAAAAAGAAGGTCATTGAATCTGACAAATGAGATGCTATTGAGGATGTGTGCCGAAGTATTTTTATTGAAGTAGTGGGAGCCAAAGTCAGATTGTGGGGAATTGGTGAGTCACAAAAGTAAAGAAGTGGAATAGTGAATGGAAGTCAATCTGTCAAGGAGGTTGGCTGTGGGTTGGAGGAGGCATGGCAGTACTTAAAGGAGACATACGAATGAAGAAGAGCTTCCTGTTCTTTTTTAAAGGAAACATGGAATTGTGGCCTTTTTTTTCTTTAATGGTAGACATTTGATCGATCTTATGAGTTGGTAAAGTCGAAATTGAAAGTGCAGAAGAGAGGATAGACCACCAACAGTGGTCACAGTATTGAAAGTAAAAGGAGGGGTGGGAGAAAAAAGCACAGAGCAGGGAGGTTTTAGTCTCAAGATAGAGATCCCATGTTTCTTGTGCTGTGACTAAAAAGAAGCAGATGAAAGCCAGCAAACAGTACAGGTGAAAGGGAGGTCGGAAGAGACAGAAGAGACGGGAAGGGCCAAGTAACTTGGAGAAACTAATCAGGTTGCCCTTTTCAGACTTAACCATAAATGAAGACATCTCAGGAAAAGATAGTCATGTTAAGAAATCTTGACTGAAATCTAAAGACAGGGTAGGTCAACCAGTAGGACTCAAGAGGGTGAGAGACACAGAAACAGGCCATGCCTATTCACAGGCCAAGGGAGAGGGTGCTCAGTCAGGTCTACCTCGCAGATACATCACTAGTGAAGTACAACATATGAGATACCAGAGTCTTTAAACCTTCCAATATTTTGACAAATTTCCCTCATTCTTATTTTATTCTAAGAACCTTTTTTGAACACAATTTTACTGGTATAGATGTTTATTCCATCTTCAATTAACTGTCTGTTTTCAAATAAGTCAGTAGGCATTCTGATTTTAGTAGTTTAGTCATTTATAAATTAGGATGAGTCAAGTTTCTTATGCTAAATTAACAATAGCAGCATGAGCGGATCTGTATTTTTAACATGCATATCTGACAGCTAGATGCTTGATTGTGGTGAATACAGTCATCTTGTGAGGCTTCCTAACAATCGGTGCAGCTCTGCTGGAGACATTCCAATCCAGGTGCATAACTTTCCTTCTTCCAATTCTGTTTGGAAAATGGCTTTTAACATATATATATATAAATATATATATATATATATGAATTATATATAACTCTTCTTCTGCGTGGTGTGGCCAGTCTTGCATCCATTAAACTCTTTCTTTACTGCAATGCTGTGGTCTCAGTAAAATGATTCTGTCTGTGCAGCAGGTAGGAAGAACCTGATGAGTGATTACCTTAGTGTTAGCTCCACATTTCCCATTATCACAGTGTTATATTATAGTAGAGGATATATATACACACACACATACACACACACAAAATATACTATATATACTATATATATCACATATATACTATATAGTATAACATATAGTATATTATATATAGTATATAATATATATATAGTATTTATATATCTATATATATATAGAGAGAGAGAGAGAGTAGAGGATAATGGTTAAGTGCATAAGCTTTGAAACCAGACCAAATGAATTAGAATCCAAGCACTTGTACTTAAGCTGTTTAATCTCAGGAAGTTAATGTACCTCTTGCATCAATCTCCTTATCTTAAAAATTGATATAATGCTGATAATACCTATTAATCTTTTGTTTTTGAAATTAAATGAAGTGTGTAAAGCTCTTAGTACAATTTTTGGCACATGGCATATACTTAGTGTTAACTACTAGTGAAACGGTCTTTGCAAAATTATGATAATAAGAGAAATCTGACATAGTTTACTGCATCTTGCTTTTAACCTCCAAGCTATCCTTGGTCATTCCCACCATACGCCAAACTAAATTTGGGAGAAATTTAGTTTGTGGTCTAGCCTTAAAGCAAGGATGATAATAGACCTTCCCAAAACTAAACAACCTTTATAAAATTTATGAAAGTCTATAAGGTTAGAATTATGAGAGGGACCTGGTTTCTGCTAAGATGTAAGTACAGTTAAACGACTACCAGCCCTTGTCCTGGAGGTCACGAGATTTGTAACTTCCTCAATTACTCCTATAGATAACATCACTATTGTAGAACCTAAGATTAGCCCTTTGAGATTTCTTTTCAGACTTTTGCATTTCTGACCACCACTGACTCCACCTGGACTCCTGACTCATGAATCAATCAGTCCTGCTGTCCCCACCCTCCACCCAGAGGTGGACTCAGTACACAAGGACCATCTTCCACACTCCTGTGATGGCTTCCCCAATCAATCAGCAGCACCCATTTCCTAGTCCCCTGCTCACCAAACTGTCCTTGAAAACCCCTAACTTCCAAGCCTTTAGGGCAAATGATTTTAGTAATAACTCACTCTTCTGTATGGCATGGCCAGTCTTGTGTCAATTAAACTCTTTCTTTACTGCAATGCTGTAGTCTCGGTAAAATGATTTTGTCTGTGGGGCAGGTTGGAAGAACCTGATGGGCAATTACATTAGTGTTAGCTCCACACTTCCCATTGTCACAGCCATGATAAACTGTGTCTTAAATTATACTTATTATCTCTTTTTCCATTTTTTTAATTTAACAAATATTTATTGAGTACCTTTTTTTGTGCTTAACCTCATAGTGCTGGATATAAGGGAAACAATGGTCAATAACACAGAAAAAGGCCCTTGCCCCAAAACCCTTACTACCTAATAGGATAGAAGATTGTAAGTAAATAATCAAACGTAACAAAATATGGTGCCTGTGCCTTAATGCCATAACAAGCAGCCCACCCAAACAAGAAAACCACATTTTGTGAGTTCCGTTCTCTCCCTCATCATCTGTACCCAAATCACTCAATTGTTTTAATTGTGAATGTGGAGGAATGTGACTTAGCATTTTGTTTAGATTTGAATCTCTGGGTATTTTTTATTAGCCTGTAGTGTCATCAGGCAGCCAGGATCTTTTCATGTTTTTATCTGCAATTTGCAATGTGTAGACTTTTACCCTCATCCTTATTGCCTCATGGTCACAAGATGGATGCTGCCTCTCCAGGTCACATGTCCACAGTCTGGGAAAATAGAAAAAAGAAAAAGAAAGGGATGAAAGTTTAAGTGGACTTTGTTCTTGTGAACAAGAAAGGAAAGTCTTCCACGGCAACTCTATTTGTATTTCTTTGGCCGATACACTATCACATGATTGCCTGAAGTTAGAAGGAGACTAAAATATTAACCACATAACTAACAGTCATGTTGCTGTCTTAAATAAAAAGGGATTCTATTAGAAAGACAGAAGTTTGTGAAAATGTCAGATGACTAGCAATTAATTAGAAAAATTAAAATTGCCCTTTATATTAATTTTTTGGTAAACACTGAATCTTTAAAAGTAATTAATACCTTTGTGTTAAAACTGAAATTTCCACAAAAGACAAAATTAGGGAAATGGAGTATTTTAACTAAAACATTTTACATTATAACTAAATTAGATAAAACCTTATAATGCTGTAATTTACTGAATTCTTATTTTTTATATAAAGTTTTAAAGTTTTATTTGTTAGAGTTTCTATTGGAGACCACATAAATCTCGTACCAGTACTTTAATAAATTGGTCTTTATAAAATCTACACAATATTCTGACCACCAAGCTAACGGGACAGACTTGAGTGACTACACATTACAAAATTAGTTTTTAAAGCCACTAAACAGATAACTACAACCCACAACAAGAACCAACAGCAAGCTCCAGGGAAGGGAAATAATCTGTATTTCAGAAGTGCGAGATATAATAATCAGAATGCCAGTTTCTAATAAAGAATTATAAGGTATGTAAGAAGAAATGGTAGCACGGCAAACTCAAAGGGAAAAAAATTAATTGACAGGAATCCCAGACATTGGAATTACTAGACAAATAGTTACATCAAGTGTCTTAACTATGCTCAAAGAGCTAAAGGATAACATGGACAAAGAAAGAAAATCAAGAGAATGATGCTTGAGCAAAAGTACAATAACTGAAAATAAAGTCACTGGAGGGGTTCTATAGCAAATTTGAGCAGGCAGAAGAAAGAATAACAAAACATATATATAGGTCAGTTGAAATTATGCACTTTGAAGAACAGAAAAAAAGAATGAAGTGAACAGAACCCAAGAAACACATGGAACAACATCAAACATAACAACATATGCATAGTGAAAGTCACAGAGGCAATGAGGGAGAAGGAGGCATGTTATAGTTTGGATACTTGTTTCCCGAAACCCCATGTTAAAATTTGGTACCCAATTTTGAAGGTGAGGCTTAATTGGAAGTGCTTGGGTCATGGGACAGTTTCCTCATTAATGACTTAGTGCAGTCTTCATGGTAGTGAGTAAGTTTTCACTCTATCAGTTCCTGTGAGAGCTGATGTTAAAAAGATGGTGGCTCCTCCATCTCTCTCTTGCTTCCTTTCTGATATAGTCTGGATACTTGTCCCTACCCGATTCTCATACTGAAATATAATCCATAATGTTGGAGGTGGACCCTTGTAGGAGGTGATTAGATCATGGGGGTGGTTTCTAATGGTTTAGCACTATCCCCTGAGCGGTGTCTCATGATAGAGTTATCATGAGATCTGTTTGTTTGAAGATGTGTAGCACCTCCTCCTTCATTCCATCTCTCTCCTGCTCTGCCATGTGAGGATGGTGCTTGCTTCCCCTTCACTTTCTGCCATGACTGTGTTTCCTGAGTCCTCCCAGAATGCCTCCTGTACAGCCTATGTGGCTGTGAGTCAATTACATCTCTTTTATTCATAAATTACCCAGTCTCAGGTAGGTGTTCATAGCAGTATGAGAACAGACTAATTCAAATGGTTTATCACCATTCCCTCAGTGCTATCCTTATGACAGTGAGTGAATTCTTGCAAGAAATGGTTGTTTAAAAGTGTATAGCACCTCTCCTCTCTCTCTCTCTCTCTCTCTCTCGCTCCTATTCTCACCATGTGAGATGTCTGCTCCCCCTTCACGTTCTGCCATGATTGTAAGCTTCCTGGGGCCTCCAGAGAAGCCGAGCAGAAGCCAATACTATCCTTCCTGTAAAGCCTGCAGAACCATAAGCCAATTAAATCTCTTTCCTTTGTAAATTATCCAGTCTCAAGTATTTCTTTATAGCAATGTAGAAATGGCCTAATACACTTTCTAACCATGTCATCTCTGCACACACCATCTCCACACCACTTTCCACTATGAGTGGAAGCAGTCTGAGGCCCTCACCAGAAGCAGATGCTGGTAACATGCTTCTTGTACAGCCTGCAGAATTGTGAGCCAAATAAACCTATTTTCTTTATAAATTACCCTACCTTGGGTATTCTTTTCTAGCAAATGGACTAAGATGGGAAAGAAAATATATTCAAATAAACAATGGCTAAAAACACCAACATTTAATGAAAGATATGAATCTACATATTCAAGAAGCTCAACAAATTCCAAATAGGATAAACTCTAAGACAAACAAACTTAGTACATTTAGGCTGCTAATACAATTTACCATAAACTGGATGGCTTATATACATGAGAAACCTATTTACAGTTCTAGAGATGGGGTAGTTCAATCAAGATTGTCTGATGAGGGCTTGCTCTCTGGTTCATAGATGGTGCTTTCCTGTAGCATCCTTGCAAGGTAGAAAAGGACAAATAAAGTCCCTTGATCCTATTTTATAAGGGCACTAATCCCATTCATAAGAGCTCCACTTTCATGTCCTAGTCACCTCCCAAAAGTCCCACCATTTAATACCATCACACCGAGGATCAGGTTTTAACACATGAATTTTGGGGGCAGACACACAATTAGACCACAGGACACACCAAGATATATTATAATTACGCCTTCCAAAGCCAAAAGCAGATAAAATCTTAAAAGCAGCAAGAGAGAATGACTTTTCATGCACAAGGGATCCTCAATAACATAAATAGCTAATTTCTCTTCAGAAACCATGGAGAGCAAAAGACGATAAGATGATTTATTTAAAATGTAAAAAGAAAAATAAAACTGCCAATGAAGAAACCTATATCCAGAAAAACTGGCCTTCAAAATTGAAGGAGAAATAAAGACATTTCCAGGTGAAAAAAACCTGAGAGATTTCGTTGTTAGTAGAACTGCCCTACAATAAATTATAAAGGTTTTGGATTCTATATACTAAACAAACTATCTGAAATAAAATTAATAAAACAATTCTATTTATAAAAGCACCAAAAAGAATAAAGTACCTAGGAATAAACTTAATCAAGGAGGTGAAAGACTTGTACACTGAAAACTACAATATGTAGATACATTTTTTAAAAGACACAAATAAATGCAAAGATATCCTGTGTTCATAGATTAAAAGACTAATATTGTTAAAATGTCTGTATTACCTAAAGTGATCTATAGATTCAATGCAATTTTCATAAATATCCCAAATGGCATTTTTTTAACAGACATAGAAAAAATAATTCTAAAATTCACCTGGGAAAACAAAAAACCCAGAATAGCCAAAGCAATTTTGATAAGATAAAACAAAGCCAAAGGCATTGTACTTCCTGGAGTCAAAATATATTACAAAGCATTAACCTCACATGGTGGCATGTGCTTGCAGTCCTATCTACTTAGGAGGTTCAGGTGGGAGGACTGCTTGAGCCCAGGAGTTTGAGAGTTATGACTGCACCACTGCACTTCATCATGGGTAACAGAGTAAGACCCCGTCTCAATTTATATATATAAAACAAATTTATCTATATAACAAATTTACATATATATAAAGTATATATAACAAAGCGATAGTGTATATATATATTATACTGTTTCAGTTACTATAGCTTTGTTATATGTAATTGAATATAATATAAATTATATAATATATATTTACGTTTTTATATATTATGTATATAAATTATATATATCAAAGTTATAGTAACTGAAACAGTATAGTGCTGCCATAAAAACAGACATATATACGAATGCAACAAAATAGAGAGCCTAGAAATAAAATCACATCTATGCAGTCAACTGATCTGACGTAGCCACCAAGAATACACAATGGAGAAAAGATAGTCTCTTCAACAAATGGTTTTAGGAAAATAAATATGTATATGCAGTAAATGAAATTGGATCCCTATCTTATACCATATACAAAATCAGTTCAAAATGAATTAAAGACTTAAATATAAGACCAGAAACTATAAAATTACTAGGGGAAACACAGGGAAAGACTCCATGTCATTGGTCTAGGCAATGATTTCATGGATATGAACACTAAGAACACAGACAAGAAAAGCAAAAATAGGCAAGTGGGTAGCATCAAACTAAAAAGTGGGACTAGGTTCTACACAGCAGTGGAAACAGTCAAGAGTGAAAAAGCAACCTATGGAATGGGAGAAAATATTTGCAAACCATATATCTGATAAGGAGTTAATATTCCAAAATATATAAGAAGCTCCTATAACTTAATAGCAAAAAACGAAACAAGCATACCTTGTTTTATTGTGCTTTGCTTTAATTTTATTTTTATTTTTATTTTATTTTTTGAGATGGAGACTGGCTCTGTTGCCCAGGCTGGAGTGCAGTGGTGCTATTTCATCTCACTGCAACCTCTGCTGCCCAGGTTCAGGCGATTCTCCTGCTTCAGCCTCCTGAGTAGCTGGGATTACAGGCGCGTGCTACCACACCCGGCTAATTTTTGTGTTTTTAGTAGAGACGGGGTTTCAGCATCTTGTCCAGGCTGGTCTTGAACTCCTGACCTCGTGATGCACCCATCTTGGCCTCCCAAAGTGCTGGATTACAGATGTGAGTCACCGCACCCGGCCTACTGTGCTTTACTTTATTGCACTTTGAGATACTGCATTTTTTTTTACAATTTGAAAGTTTGTGGCAACCTTTTCCCAAGTTTAGTCTTGGTGACGCCATTTTTCCAACACCATGTGCTCACTTTGTGTCTCTGTCTCACAATAATTTAAACTTTTTCATTATTATGCTGTGTTATTGTGATCTGTAATCATGGATCTTTGATGTTACTA